ATATATATATATATATATATATATGTTTATATAAACAAACAACCTTTTCTCCTTCCTCTCCTTGTTTGTTTATATAAATTATTTATTATTTATTTATTTATTTATTTATTTATTTATTTACTTATTTATTTGTTTCTTTTTTTTTGTATTTGTTTGCCTTTTATGTTTATCTTTTTAAAATTTCTTTTGTGTATTTCTTTTTTATTTTCTCCTTTTTCTCCTTTTCCTCCTTTTTCTCCTTTTTCTCCTTTTCCTCTTTTTTCTTCTTTTTCTTCTTTTCCTCCTTTTTCTTCTTTTTCTCTTCTTTCTTTCTTTTCCTGTCTATTTTGTTGTCTTATTCTTAACTTCTTTTCCTGTTAACACATAATAAGAAAATAAATAAATAAATAAATAAATAAATAAATAAATAAATAAATAAATATTTATATTTATATTTATATAAAACAAGAGAGAAAAGACAAGAAAGGAGAAATAAAACAAACAAATATAATTAAAAAAGAACATATATTAACAGCGAAACCCTAAACCCTAAACCCTAAACCCTAAAAATATTAAATTACCTTTTTAGCTAAAATGCGTCGAACCGCGGGACGCATAAGGCGTCGATCTACAAATAAAAAATAAATAAAAAAAAAATAAATAAATAAATTTAATTAATTAATTAATTAGGGGTAAGTAAAAAGGAAAAGAAAAAAAAATAAATAATTATGTTTACCTCTCATTTCTTTCTTTTTCTTTTCCTGTTGTTTGCTGCTATTTATGCGGCACACTTCCTCTGATAGAGCTCGCTGCAGCCGTAGCGGACGCCCCTGCAGCAGCAGCAGCAGCAGCAGCAGCAGCAAAAGCAACAGCAGCAACAGCAGCAGCAGCGAATCGGTAATGGGTAAGGGGAAGAGGTTGGTGTATGCGGAGCAGCATCAGCAACAGCTGCTGCTGCTGCAGCTGTTGCTGCAGTAGCGACTAAAGGGTTTTGCAGGGTTGGCTTACCAGTAAGGAAACAGCCTGCTGCTGCTGCTGCTGCTGCTGCAGTGCTTTTGCTGCGCTGCTGCGATGTTGGAAGCAAATAAAGCCAAACCCTAAACTACGACGAGTTAATCGATCTCTTAGGATACGAACTTCTGTATAAAAAAAAAAGAAGAAAAAGGAAGGAAAAAAGAAAAAAAAAAGAAGAAAAAAAGGATAAAAACAAGAATAAATAATATAATTATTATTAATATAATTATAATAATCATAATAATCATAATAAATATAACAAAAATAGCAGCAGCAGCAGCAGCAACACCGAATGGGCTGCCTGTATGACCCTAAACCCTAAACCCTAAACCCTAAACCCTAAACCCTAAACCCTAAACCCTAAACCCTAAAATATGAAATATAAACCATTTTAATATGATGTTGGGGTGAGGTGGATATTCGAGTTTAAATACAACACATAACTGTATAAACGCAACAGCAAGAGCAGCAGCAGCAGCAGCACGACATGCAGCAGCAGCAACAGCAGCAGCAGCAACAGCAGCAGCAGCAACAGCAGCAGCAGCAACAGCAGCAGCAGCAACAGCAGCAGCAGCACCTTTTGCTTTAATATATTATCCAATAATTCTTTGCTTTTTAATACAATATAAGCATTCTGTGAATCATAGTCCTGAAGAGAATACACACCAAACCCTAAACCCTAAACCCTAAACCCTAAACCCTAGTAAGTCAGCCTTTAAAACCAATCTATTTGCTGCACTGCAGCAGCAGCAGCAGCAGCAGCAAAGTGGTGTCTTACGCTGAATTGTTTTCTGGCGATTCCTGCCCGCCGACAATTCCCAAATTGAGCAGCAACAGGAACAGAACGAAGCCTCATCTGCAGCAGCAACAGCAGCAACAGCAGCAACAGCAGCAACAGCAGCAGCAGGAGTACTAAGAAGGTTACTAAACAGATCAAGTGACAGCTGCTGCATGCAACCATCTCCAGCAGCAGCAAAAGCAACGGCAGCAGCAGCAGCAACAACAGCAGCATGAGTCGTAGAGATAAAAACATAAACAGCAGCAACAGCAGCAACAGCAGCAACAACAGCAACAGCAGCAGCAGCAGCAGCAGCAACAGCAACCTTACGGATTCAACTTCTGTTTTCGGTATATTGAGGTGTCTGTACACCTCAATTGGCTTAAATTTATCACGAAGAGGTAAATTACCAACAAATAAAGTACGACTATTCCTTTCTTCTCTTGTTTCTGCTGCTGCTGCTGCTGCTGCTGCATCTGCTGCTGCTTCTGTTGATGTATTTGGATCACTGTCAGGGGATGTAGATGATTCTGCTTTTTCTGCTGCTTTTGCAGCAGCAGCAGCTGCTGCTGCTGCTGCTACACCAGCACGTAGGCTTCTCCGCTTCTCGCCTTGGCCACCCGCTGCAGCAGCAGCAGCAGCAGCAGCACGCATACAGAGGCAGCAATCATAGCAGCACGAGCAGCAGCAGTAGCAGCAGCAACAGCAGTAGCAGCAACAGCAGCAGTAGTACCATCAGCAACAGCAGCAGCAACTTCAGCAGCAAAAGAACACACTGCTTACCCAGGGCCGCAGCATCTCCGCTGCTGCTGCTGCTGCTGCTGTTGCTGCTGCTGCTGCTATGGGGTGTTGCGAAGATGGAGTGCTGCTGCTGGGTGGGTCTGTCAAAGAGAGCCCTTAATTGCTGCAGCTTTTCATCTTCTTCTTCGTCTGCTGCTGCTGCTGCTGTTGCTGCTGCTGCTGCTGCATTTACCTTTTGCTTCTTTTTCTGCCCATTTTCTTCTTCTTTCTTTTCCCTCTTCTTTTTATTTATATTAGGGGACTCCTCGTTGCTGCTTTCTGCTGCTGTTGCTGCTGTTGCTGCTGCTGCTGCAGATTGGATAAGGGAGGCCAAAGTCCCTGGAGTGTATGGGGAGCTCTCAGCGGCCGACTTTGACTGTTGCTGCTGCTGCTGCTCTGGCTGCTGCTGCTCTTGCTGCTGCTGTAGTTGTTTATCGCCTTTGTTCTTTTTCTTCTTTTCCTTCTTTCTATCCACCGCCTCCTCCAAGGGTTTTGTCTTCCCCATCTCCGCAGCAACAGGCGGATACGACCCTAGACCCTAAACTCTAAACCCTAAACCCTAAACCCTAAACACTAAACCCTTAAAAATAGTATTATTCAAATATACGACCCTCGGGGGCCCCCTCGCGTGCCTGAGGGGCCCGTGAAACAGGGTTGGAGGTCAATAAAGAAAATATTCTGATTAATATATTTAATTAGTTTTATATAAAATAAAATAAAAAAAACAACAAAAAAGGTATTTAAATACAAGAAGGAGCGGCAAAGAAAGAGGGGCCCCTAAGAAGCCCCACAGGCATCGATGAAGGTGTCGTGGGGGCCCCCTTGATGATATAAAGGACAAAATATGGATTTGTATTAAAATAAATTATAAAATTAAATAATAAAATAAACAAAATAAGAAAAAATGAATTAATTGCGAATATTATACAGATATTAGTACTATCCGTCGTGCTGGGGTGTGCTGGGGTGTGTCTGTACACCACACACAGTGTTGCAAGACTAGCGACTTATTATGTATTGAATACTATTATTATATTATATTTATATTAATGCATATATATTGTTATGTATATTTTAAGGAATAATATCAGGTAATGCTTTACATGAGAAAATAAAGGAAATAATTTCAGTTTTGTATTTAGTGTTTAGGGTTTAGGGTTTAGGGTTTAGGGTTTAGGGTTTAGGGTTTCTAAGGATTAGGGCATTCGATTAAGGCGCCTCTTAAAATAAACATTTATTAAGGAGAGGTTTACGTTAATGGACAAAGGGTAGCAACAAATAATTATATATTATTATTTTTATTATTAATATTTATTATTATATTTTATTACTATAAGGAATAGTATATATTATTATATTGTATTATATTCATAAAGAAAAAGATATTTTCTTCTTTTTGTTAATAATTTTAGCTAATTATACACCGTAAATAGCATTTTATTAATATTAATATTATAATTATTAATATTAATTATTAATTTTATTCAATTATAGTATTTTATTTTTTATTTATATTTTTATTGTTGTGTATATATTGCAGTAACTGTTACTTTTATTTCTGCTGCTGCTCTTCTTGCTGCTATGTCTGCTGCTGTGGCTGTTGCTGATTATAATAATAATAATTATTATTATAATTGTTATTATTATTATTATTATTATTATTATTATTATTATTATTGTTATTTTCCTACACAAATATGCATGCATGCATATATGTATACATTTATTATTATGTAAATAATATAATATTATGTAAATAGTGTTTGTTTGTATATATAGAGCGAGCAAAGAAGAAGAATTATAGTAGTAATAAATAATTAAATAAGAATAAAATAAATACTTTTATTAAAATAAATAATTCAATAAAAATAAATACTTTTATTTATATAATATACATATATTTATTTATCGAGGGCAGAAGCCCCTCTAGACAGGTACCAAGAAGAGTTGGCTGTTGGATATTATTTATTTTTTGTTAAATATTTGTTATATTCTTTTATATAATTAATTTATTATTTAATTAATTTATTATTTAATTAATTTATTTTTTATTTATTTTTTTTCTTTTTTTTACGTCATAACTGACATAGAGCCTTATTGTTATTTGTTTGTAGGGCTCTTTTGCACGTTTCTGCTCTGAGGGGTACCGAGCAACAAATACATATCTTTATTGATAAATACTTTCTTCAAATAAACAAATGAAGAAATATAATTTATTTACAAGTATAAGAAGAGATGTGTATGCTTTCTTCTAGTTGGTGGTGCCTTCTTGGCAGTGGCTGTTGGTGCCATATACGTACACAAACAACAGGGAGAAACAGAAGAATACTGGATTTATTTACTTGAAATAAATTAAAAGTATACTGAAATAAATTTATATATTTATAGGTTTAGCATGAAACAAGTTTATATGCTTAGTTTATGAGCACTTGTTCTGTGGATGGATGCTTGACAACAGTCGCCACCACCAATCATTGGATGTTGCATGTACCGTTCTTGTTCTGCATAAAAAAAAGAAAAATGCACGAAATAATCATTAATTAGCATTACTAAACAGACCCATAAATAAATAAAAGGAAAAATAAAGGAAGAAAGGAAGATTTAATTGCTGCCCTCTCTGCAGGGGTGTTTGTTCTGTTATGGTCAGACCAGTGGTACACGGGTGAAAAACAACACATGGTGCTGGTGTTGTAAATCTTATGCACTTTTTCTTCTAAATTGTTGAACATAAATTGAAATAATTAAATTACTGACTATTTTTGGTGTTTATGGTTCCCGTTGATGTGCTTTAAGCCGCGTTTTCCCCCTTTTTCCGTCGCCTTTCACCACCACTCACCGTCTACCCGTGAGTGTAGATGCGACGCATTGCAGCAAATTTATTGAAATTTTCTTTTTTTATATAGTTAGAATAATAATTTAGTTCCTTTTTCCTTCGAAGGAACTTCGCTGCTGCTGCAGCACGAGGTAGAATCCTTGAATCCCGCCTCGATAAATCGTTTTTTCCTCTGTGTCTGCACGAAAACAAGCCAACTGGCGGCACTGCAGCGTACATGAGGAGTCATTTTCTCCTTGTGTATGCCATTAAGAGATTTCTCTTTGTTTTTGCCTCTCTTTAGAGGCCCCCTTTACCGCAGAAGCCAAGGAAGGCGGCCGATCGGCAGGAGGCCGCTCTATTGCCGCCATTTAACCTTTTAGGCTGTCAGGGGCTTTTTATGAAAACAAGAAAAAAATGGAGTCTTTAAATCATCCGTCATTAGAGGCGAGTGTAGATCTTGAGTTGCAGCCGGAGCAACCCAAGCAGGAGAACAGCGAGTCGGGTGCTGCTGCTGTTGCACAGCAAGCTGCAGGTGACGTGCTGCAACAGCAACCAGAGCACCAACAGCAGCAGCAACAACAGCAGCAGCAGCAACAGCAGGAGTCTCCTCCCCTTCAGGGAGTAGAAGTATTTCAATTAAATACTTCCCGTTGTCGTCGTCAATCCTTGCCAATGACTGTTCCTGTTTCCTTAGATATTGAACTAGTACAGACACCTCATGAGGTGTTACCACAGCCTAAGAGAATAATAGAGGGATTATCTCCCTTAGGGAATATAAATCAGCCTACTTTATTAGGTCCTCCTGCTCCTTCAGGTTTCCCGCTGCTGCAACAGCTGCAGGAAGATGCTATGAACCCTAAGGAAACCCTTCCTCCTCTTTCTCTTGCTCCTCTCCCTACCTTCGTAGGGGTTCCTCTCCCTGTCCCTCTTGAACAACCTAAAAGAAATTCAAGTCCTCAACAACTAGACTCTGTCGCTCTTACTGTCCTACAACATCCACGAGACCCAACAGCAGAAGCAACAGCAGCAGCAGCAGAAGCAACAGCGACAGCAGCAGGCAGGCAACCTCCTCGCAGTAAGACGGGGTTGCGCTCTATTAAGTGCATGCAAAGCTGTTGCTTTCTATTTCTTATAATGTTGTTGGTCTTCATGTTAGTTGGTAGTATGAATTATTATTATTATTATTATTATTATTATTGTTATTATTATTATTATTATTATTATTATTATTGTTATTACTATTATTATTATTATTATTATTATTGTTATTATTACTATTTTGGTGTCTGCGGGGTGTATGTGCAGCTGCTGGACCACCTTCAACAACTCCTAAGGCGGAGGGGGGAGGTGTGGGGCCCCGATTGTCTGCTGAGCCTTTGCTGCCTCTTCTATTGGGGAATACAATAGAGGGGGCCCCCCCTTGGCCTCTATCGGAGACAGAGGACATTGCTGCCTATCAGCATAGTACCCCAGCTACAGCTCCTGCTTCCCTGTCTGCTAGCTTACCGGGGCCCATAGGGGGAGTCCCCTCTGCTGCTCCTTGCATGCGCTCTTGTGTCAGTGCTGTTAACGGCTCTGTCTATGAGGCTGCAGCAGTTGTGGGGGCCCCTGCCGATACACCTGGGGAGGGTCTCTATGTTGTGCAAGACCCTAACATTGTTCCTGCCTCTTCTATCGTGTTTCTTCCGGGTAATACAGGGCATGCACCTGCTGCTTCTGCTGCAGCATCAGCAGCAGAAAAAACAACAGAGCAGCAAATATGGAAAGCCAACTTCTTAGGGCCATCTGGAGGGCTAGCGGGAGCAGCCGGGGGGGCCCCGGGGGGGGGACCCCGCTTACCGGTTACCGCTTTGGGGCCCCCAGGCAGCTGGATGAGTTCCTATGGATCAGAGCCCTTAGATCCCCAGTCTCTGCAGAGCCGCATGCAAGAAACTGCTGCAGGTACTTCAGCAGCAGCATCAGCAGGAGGAGCTGCAGGATCAGGAGCATCTGGAGCAGCGGGACGGCACGCTGCAGCAGGGGGGGGCCCCAGTTCAGGAGGGCAGCTGCGTTGCAAGAAGCTGCTAGGAGGGGCACGACTGTTAGGGGCCCTAGCTGTTTGGTTTTGCATGCTGCTGGGTATAGCCTTTTTGCTGCTGCTTAAGCCAGGAGGAGCAACACAAGTGCTGCAGGTGGCAGCACCTGTTGCTGCTGTGCTGCTGTTCCTCTCTCCCGCAGCAGCAGCAAAGAGAGCCCTAAGAGAAGCAGACACTGCAAGTCTTCCTGCTGCTGTCTTTGTTGCTCAAGCTGTGGCATGTGCTATCGCTCTTGTCTATGGAATGCAAATAAACAGCAACGCCATCTTTATTACCAATACTATTGGTAACGCCCCAGCTGCTGCTGCTGCTGAGTGTGCTGCTGTTGCTGCTGAGTGTGCTGCTGTTGCTGTTGAGTGTGTTGCTGCTGCTGCTGCTGCTGCTTCTATTGCACGGCCTTCCGAGTGACCTTCCTGTATGCCCTTTGCTGTGCTTCCCTTATTTCTCGTGGTGCTCCACAATTGTTGTTTTTAATTGACATCTTTCCTGCATCTACTTCTGCTGCTGCGACTGCCGCTGCTGCTGTTGCTATTGCTGTAGAGTCCATTTGTGTCTGTGTGTCTATTTCTGTGTGGCTGCAGGTATGGTGCTTGAGGTATGCTGGCTTGCAGTGTTTGCTGCTTGTCTACAGCAGCGAAGTGAGTCGCGTTGTGCTGCTCGTAGTGGAGGTTTAACAACGGGAGGAAGCTTCTCTGAAGAGGCTCCTTCTTGGTTGCGGCAGGCAGTTGGGAGTGGAGCAGCAGCAGCAGATTCGCCTCGTGCTGCAGCAGCAGCACCTTCGCTGCAGCGACGCGGGGTGCAGAGAGTTTCTCTGAAGCACAAGCCGGCGATTAGTCTTCACTCCAATCCCTCGCCTTCGGGTGCTGCTGCAGCTGCATCGGCAGCAGCAGCAGCAGCAAGCTCAAAGCCTCCACGCAAGAGCGGCGCGCGCGCAGCAACGACACGACACAAGAGGCATCCAGGGCAGCAGCAGCAGCAGCACCTGCAGCAGCAACTCCAGCAACAGCAACAGCATCCAGCAATAGGAGCCTCGGCAGGTGGCAGTACCCACAAAGGATCCCCGCGAGCCGCCCTAACGGCTGTGGGGCCGTCAAGTTCTTCACTGCAGCGCAGCAGCAGCATAGCGAGCTGTATGAACAGAGCCAGCGGCGGCAGCAGCAGCAGCGAGGATAGCGCGGATAACAGCAGCAACAGCAACTTTGCAACGGAAGCAGATCGCAACAGCAGCAACAACAGGAGACGTTGCGGTGCCATTGGAGGTGTTAGAGGGAGAAGAAGAAGATGGTCTTCTGTAGATGCTCGTTCTTCTATCTCTCTTAATATGCTGTTATGCTGTATACGCTGGTTTGGTTTGCTGCTGCTCTCCTCAGCTCCCTTGCTGCTGTTCCTGCTGTTGCTGCCCGTCAACTTTGTTGGTTGGCTTCAGGTACCTGCCTCCCTCTCCCTCTTCGGAGCGCACGTCCCAAGACTGGTAATCCCTCATACATCAATTTCCCGCTGTTGCAAGTCACCGCCAGAAACACAAACGGCCGCAACAACTGTAGTATTAACAGTAGCAGCACCAGTAGTATCAGTTACAGCAATAGTAGTAGGCGAAGCAAGAGTAGTACCAGCAGCAGCTACAGCAGTAGCAGCAGCAGTAGCAGCAACAATAGTAACAGCAGCACGAGCAACGACCCGTCTAGGGTATTGATCTGTGTCAAAGGGCATAGATAGGTTGCAGTGAAGTAATACGCCACTATCACTATAAACACAAAATGATTAATACCATCATTATTAATGCTGTATTATAAATTAAATGATATTTAACACATTATTATACAATCAATTGCACGGAAGTCGCATGCATATTTCTGTGTTTCTTTACTACAGTGTCTAATGATAAGAATGAAGTCGCACGAATGCTTGCCAACTCCTCTCGTTCTAATGGGAATTCTTTGCAATGGTTGTTGGGCACTTCTTGGATTCATCGCCGGACTTGGCGCTGTCTGCTGCGTTGGTGTTGTTGGTACGCTTACACCGGCTGCACTCGTCCCCATCTATATATATGTATGCTCATGTATATGTATGTATATATGCATACATATGCATATATATGTATGCATATGTATTATGGAGAGACGCATACAGAAAGATATGGAACAGCGATGTAGAAGAAAGGGAGAGAGATGTTAAGAATGGAAGGGAAGGAGAGGAAGATGGAAAGAGAGAGAGAGGCAGAGTGAGCTCGTGCTGCTCCTAGTGCTGCGGGTGCTGCTGTTGTTGTTGTTGCTGCTTCCGCTGCAGGGTACTTGTTTAGTGCGCTTCAGATGCATGTCATTTGGTGGACGAAGGGGCTCTGCAGTCTATTGGACTTTGAGTGCTTTGGCGGAAGTTGGAGAGAAGACCAGCAGCAGCAACAGCAGCATAGCTCTTTTGCTGCTCGTTCATCTCCACGACAATGAAGAGACAGACAAATCTGTCTCTTGTTTTGCCCCTTTCTTGAACAGTTAGCTGTTTGCTCTATTATCTTTGCATTCATGCATGCATGCCAATTCTAAACTCATAGATCCTGCAGAAGCATACAAAAAATAACGGCGATTTACTACGTATATTGTGTACATTTGTATATAGTATGCGAGGTTCCTTATATATATATATATATATATATTATATATAT